TGTATGTTGCAAATGACTAATTCCATTCCACCTGCAAATGGGCGCTCCCAACTTGTTTACTCACGGAGACCTTTTTCAGGTGAACGAAGTGACATGTAAATAACTAATTCCAGTTGTAAATAAATATATGGATGTTGCAAATTGTCTAGTCTCACTTGCAAATGGGCTGTCCCACACTTGTTCACTCAGACACATTTTTCAGGTGAAGAAGGTAATATGTAAATGGACTAATTTTAATTGTAAATATATTTATGCATGTTGTAATTATCTAACCTCACTTGCAAATAGGTCTCCATACTTGTTCACATGAGAGGCAATAGGGTCATTTTCTTTGTGGAATAATATCAGTTTGCCCCCTTGGTCCTGCATGAAATTTCAGAAAATTTGGAGGCTCTTTGAAATTAATTGTCTTCTGCGGTCTACAGTGAATTTGCCCATTTTTTTTTATAATTAAACTGTCAGATAGGCGCCACATGTAGCTTCCCTAGCCAAGAGCAATTGCCACATCTAGACACTGTCCTGCCCCCATGCCAAATCATCTGGCAGTCATGTTATAGTCAACTTTTTGAGGTGTTAATATGAGATGACATTGCTATATTTTATATTATCTTGTGGTTGAAATAGAACCTAATTATTATTAATTTAATTTTAACTTTAAATATAAAATTTATTTTTATATTTATTAATTTTTTAAAATTATTCTTATGAATCTCTCCCAACCATAACCAAATGAAAAAAAAAGATATTAAGAAAGATGATTATAATATTTTAAAAAAATATATCATATTTCTTATAATTAACTAACTTACCTAACTTTTTTAATCTAATTAAATTAGTTAAATAAATTCTATATTAAGGATCGGAAAAGTACTTCTTTTCAAATACCCAAGTATAAGCAGAAACTTTCTGAGTAAAATTGGACATTATTCTTTAATTTAAAGATATTACATGCTACTCTATCTTTATTCACAAGTCACTTATATTTTAAACCTACAAATCAAAAAATACAGTAAATTAATAATGTTTTTCACACTTATTTAAAAAAAGGAATGAAATTAAAAAAAATCATTAATTATTCTATAAATAACTTATATATAGGAACATAACGATACTATGAAAACTTCAGAAGTATTGAACACCAATGTAGGTTACAAAAATTTACAGACACAACCTTTACCCCATTATATATATATATATATATATATATATAGAGAGAGAGAGAGAGAGAGAGAGAGACGACTTTAATTGAAAAGATGCTGGGATCACTTAAAAGTGTCAAGCATATCAGATTGCTCAGCTGTTAACACTGTCAGGTCGAAATGCGGTTTCTCCGTTCAGATTTTTATTTTTTTTTGGGGGTGCCTAATGAATTATAGCCATTGATAATGATAAAAAGATTTATAATTATGATAAAATGAAGGGCTAAAACACATCCAACCCTCTAAATATTTTTCAAATATATCTAGTATTTTAAAATATTTTATAATAAATCTAGTATTTTTGAAACATTTTTTTAAATATATCCAACTTAGTACTGCATGCATCTAAAAATATTTTAAGATTTTAAAAAATATTTTATGATGCTGAGTATGCTAAAAATACTTTAAAACACTGAATATACCTGAAAAAAAACATTTTGAGTGCTAAATATACCTTAACTCTAAAATGAATTATTTAGTCCGTTGAAAAATAACTCACCTATCCATTCGGCCCTGAACATATTAAACACCTGAGGAGTGAGCACAATTGCTCGAGAACTTTTCTAATCCCGTACGGGGGATTTGACTATCAGGCATCAGGTATAAACCGCAACCCACACAGCCATTAGCCCGTAAGCTTCCAAGTTTTCACCAAATCTAAAAACATAAATGACCTTACATTATTCATCATTAATGAATAATATAGTTCATTATATATTTTATATTTACATTGATATCGATATTTGATAAAGAAGAGTAATTTAAGCAAATCTCACAATATCGAGTGAACCGATCCCACAAAAACAGAAAAAAGAATCTTATGTGCCCAAGCAATGCAGCTTTAGATTAAAATGACTCTCCAAAAGCTCCAAATCATAAGTCAACCAGCCATGTAAGTTCTCATTAAATTAATCAACAAGTCTATAAAATGGCTGCGATTTTACCTGAAGGAATCATTCTGATTAGAACAAAATCTGGGGGGCTAAATTAAAAAGATTATTTATGATCAAATTGAAAAACAACGTTCTTTCTGTAAATAAATCATGCACTTAGGTGGTGTTATGAATCATGAGCATAAACACTGGCAGTGCATTTGAAGGATTATATACTTCATCAGTTCATCCCTTCTAGAAACAATAAGAATTTTATGTTACTTCCTAAATAAAATCAGGCGGGGAAAACAGCGTTACAGGGAAAAGCTAACTAAATCCTCTACGTCAAAAAGACGAACAACTCCAGACTAACCATCTATAAAGCAAATAGAAAGGAGAACGAATCAATCAGGAAAACAAGTCATTGGAATAGAACAAAACGCAACTTAGTCAAGTTTTATATCGTCCATCTCATTGATAACCCCCTCAAGCTGCGAACAGGAACAAACAAAATGATCAAGAGAGATTCGAATAAACAGAGTATACAGATTGCTGTGCAGGAAGAAGCAGCATACCTTGACAATCTGCCGCAAGAAATAATCACTATATCGCTTGGGTAACTTGGGCTCTACAACATGAATATAGTCCTGCAGCAAATGACCGTCAGTCACTCCAAGTTTGCAAAACCATTCAAGAAGAAAATGGCAACATGCTCAATTCGAAAGTCTAACTTTCACATAGTAGCAAGGCTAATATAAACTTCCGCCAACATCTTTATTCAAGTTCATTATCATGCATAAATCGATAAAAAGCATCAAGCTAGTTAAAACAAGAAAATTAGAAAAGATATCAAAACTGACACTCAGTTATGAGCAGTTTAGGGGGCTTGACGATTAATTTAACAAGAACATAAAAGCAATTAGCTAGCTGGAATATGCATTATTTGAAATATAAAGCCCCCTTAAAAGACAAAGTAAACATGACAGAAGAAAAATTCAATAAGCTTACGTCATCAATGTAGAAATCTATATCAGCATTAGATACAATTTTCTTGTCACTATCAACGGCATGCGTCTTATGCTTGTACGTCAACAAAATTGACCTGTCAAACACCACAATAAACTCAGATCAAATATCTCATTCACAAAATTATCTACAAAAAACAAAACATGTTGGGGGAATGTTCATAAAAAGGGAGGCGTTCTAACCTTAAAGTGGCTTCATCCACTTCCATGTAACTTGCTAATTTCGCTAGAGAGATTGATGAATACACTTTCAAAAAAGTCCGGACACCTGATAACAATTGTTGCTGCTTCACTTCATAAAGGAACAATTTCAACTGAAGTCTATAGGCATCCTGCCATACCATCCAACAATTTACCACAAAAAACATAGATGAAATGAGGAAGCAGAGTAAATGTCCAAACCATTATGTTTGAAGTTAAGCAATTATGCCAGAAGAGTCTCAACTAGCCAGCCAGCGTTTAGCCAAAATAAAAAGGGTAGATAAACGTCTACCAAATCATTCCATAAATATATATTATATAAGATGATGGAGATCAATATGGACAGATGTTTCAATAAAAGAATGAAGATCTTGAAAAATAAAACCAAATACCCCCCAGCAACATAAATGCAAGAGAAATAGGCACAGAACTTTGTCAAATTCCCTTAATTATGGTCAAACAGCTGCACCACCAAGAATTTTTCAATAATTCCCTTCTATTTATTATTTTCTCATTTTTTCCCTTTTTGGCAAGGTGGAAAATAGACATTTATAACTATCCCAGGTTTATTTTCCCTTCAAGATAGAGACAGGGAAGTGCATGGTTCACCCATTCTACCGTGGAGGGCAAAGGAGAACAATGACTTCAAATTCCATACTTGATATATCTTGGTGCTGAACACTTAAATGCTATACTTTTCTAGTGGCAAGATGGAACAAAAGTGGTACCTGGTTGTAATTTACTAGAGGCTCCTCAAAACTAGGTGCTGAAGGGGTAATGAACTTGGGACAAGCATATGAGAAGAGCTCATCATAGATAGCAAATGCCTCATCATCATATCTTTGCATTCTAATCATTTTTTCACCGTACTTTTCCCGTAACTGAGAGCTCACTGTTTCATCAACCAACTGGTTTTGCGGGCAGAGTGAAAGGCAGATTGCCAGCAAGGCATACATTTGCTCATTCTTCTTTAGTATTTGCTCATACTGTGGAGATTTCTGATGATATTGCTTTGTCTTGTAGATGTACAAGAGAATTTTGTTAAATTCATAAATTGCTTCCACATATCTGTAGAAAAGATTACACATTAGGCTATATAAACAGTTGAAAAAGTACTATAATACAAGAACAAGAAAACAGCAATATATTCTGATTTCTGAATTATGTGACACCGAGCTCTACTATCAAAAATACTGAAAATATTAAGCTACACCAAAGTTTGAAAAGGCTATTGAGCATCTCACCTCCGCAACATAAGATTGGCAAAACCATAATGATAGATGGTGGCAATGTGGCTTCCAATAACACTGGTGTAAACTCCTTGTTGACTAATATCAACAGGAAGGAGGCACTTTAGACCAGTTTGATAATCTCCCAAAAGACAATGAACTCGCAGTAGAGCAATCATGCTGAAATACCCCAAAACCTTCAAGACATTACTTCCTCCGTCGTAGCTATACCCATCAGTAGCCGTAAACTGTTCTAGGCCTTCCTTCTCACGCTCAAGAATTTGAGTGATCGAAGACTTCTCAACAAGGGCTTGCAAGAAGTTGAGAAGGCCATACACGTTCCAAGCCTTTGAAATGGAATTATAACATTCAGCTTATAACGTGAAAAGAAACAAACCCTACAGCTAGACACACAGAGCATGCATCTTAAATAACCCGAATTGATTATTCTTTGAGTTTAAACCAAATGGATAGTTACTTTCATCAAAACCAGAAAAAAGAGCTTTCGTCATCTGCCTATCTGATACTTTCCTCTTGCCCACAAATAACAAGCCAAGAAATCACCATAGAAAAACTACACTCAGCCACTTGAAAAACTACCTGATCATACTGCTTCAAGATCGCAATTTCATGTTCGGTTTTATTCTTCATCTTTGCTCTGTACTGACAGAAGCTCTGAAACTGGTACACAAACTCATCCACCATGTCCCACAACCATTGGTTGGGTAGCTGCATATTGACAACACCATGCAACACAACCTGAAAAAGGCTACAATAATTGTCCCAGGAATCTATCCTCTGCTTGAGAGTTGGAGTGAGCCTAGCGTAGAGGTGACGAAACCACATCTCACGGTATAGGAGGCAGAAGACATGGTCATTGTCGACGTAGATAGAGACGGCGTCGACAGAGGGCCAGGGAGTGTCCTTGAAGAGACGCTCCGAGAGGGTCTGGAAGGAGTTCTCGTACATCTGGTGAATCTCGTACACATTCTTCTCTCGGATGTGACGGTAGAGGTGAACAACGAATGACTTCACAGAGTCGGGTACGAAGTTCGGATCATATCCAATGTCCTGAGATTGTGAAGGTGGCAGCTGGCGGTGGTCGTCGTAGCCGGCACGTGAATCTTCGTACTCATTGGCAGTCATGGTTGCTAAAATGTAAGGACTGCAGCCTCCAGAGCGCCGGTGAGTAGTGGCGACGAGGGAGCCGTCTGCGCTGCTGTGATAATCTGTTTAGGGTTCACCGTAATCCGATTGACGATCCGATTAAGCTAAACTCGGGTCGGGATCTCTTTTTGGGCTTAACAATTGACGAGGCCTATTTAGATGCATAATCCATCCAGAGTGCCGGGTTATGTCAATGTGAATAGCCCTGCGGCTTTATTTGCGCATAAAGAAGTTCCTCAGATTACTGTAGTTTGAACGTAAAATTCGATCGTACTATGGCCGAAAGTTTTGAATTCGAGTCCGTATAAAATTGGATGATCCTCTCCAGAGTAGGGGATTCTTTTTATTACTGATCCTATACTTAGGACTAAGGTTACGTTTGGTAGGGAGCATTGAAAATGAGGGATTGGGATTGAGATTACAATTGAAAAAATCTATTAAGAGAGTGTTTAGTATAAGAAATTGTTTGATATATGGGATTAGCCAAAGCCATATATGTGGGATTGGAGAATACCATGGGGGGAAGTGGTATTCTCCAATCCCACCTTTATGAGTTTGTCTAATCCCATATAACAAACAATTACTCATGCTAAGTACTCCTCCGGTCCTAATTATAAGACCCAATTGACTTATTTGAGGAGATTAAGGAAGTAAGTTAAGTTGGTTATTTATAATAAATAAGTGTTGTCATTCCTAAAATATCCTTGCTAATTAAGTATATTGGCTAAAACTATCATTATTAGAAGGATTATCTTGGGAAAAAATGCATAAATATAAGAGACAAAATGGATTGGGTCCTATAATTAGGACCAAATAAAAAGTCAAATTGGGTCTTATAATAAGGACCGGAGGAGTATTATTTTAATGATTTTTTTCAATTGCAATCCCAATCCCAATCCCTCATTTTCAATGCTTCATACCAAACAGGACCTAAAGGTAATAGTTCATCACCTACTTTAGCTCACACTGAACCACTTCCATCCTATGTAGTGTATGCACAATGCTGCACAAACACACAATTTGAAAGGAAAAAAAATTGAGAATAAATCCCCCATTAAAAAATTAATTGACAAATGGGATCTGAAGATTTTGTACAACTTAACTTCTATTGTGTGTAACTTAACTTCTTTTATGTGTAATTTATCTTTTTTTTATGCAATAATCTTCTTTTGTATGATGTGCAACTCAATTTCTCTTTATGCAAATGAAATTCTCTTATATACAAGTCATTTTCCTTATATGCAAACTAATCCCTTATATCTAAATAATGTTTTGTGAAAACCATATTCTTTTTATGCAACTTAGCTTCTTTTGTGTACAACTAATCTTCTTTATACAATCAATCATCTTAAGGACCATTTGCTAATTAAAATTGTAATGAAGGATTTATCTCTAATTTTCTCCCAAAAAAAAAAAACAGAGCCCTTTTAGGTAAATCCTTATAAACTTTATACTACCTCCAGTCCTACTTATAAGAACCAGTTGACTAATTTAAAAAAATTAAGAAAAGAAGTTAAGTCAGTTATTTGTAATAAATAAGTTTTGTCTTTCCTAAAATATCCTTACTAATCAAGTATATTGGCTAAAACTATAATTATTAGAAGGACTATCTTGAAAAAAAATTGAGTAAATGTAAGAGACAAAATGGATTGGGGTCTTATATTTAGGACCAATATAAAAGTCAAACGGAGTCTTATATTAAGAACCGGAGGTAGTATTATCTACATTGAAATATATGAATATGTAGAATAGATACAATGTATGAACATATGAAATATATAATTTCATATGTTAATATGAGGGAATAAAATTTATTTTCAAAATATTAAAAAGATAATCAGGAATGTTGAGATTAAAAAAGAATATTATTTTTTTAAACATAATTAAAGAATTGTTGGAACGTCATGAAAAACACGATCTTGCAGTAAGAGCCCTTAAGCGTATAAATTTGGAAAAAGAAATAGCTGTCCATTGTCCATGCATCCTCGCCTAGAGAGTTTCAACGTTATTCTGGTGCATTATCCCTCTTAAAATCCAAGAATCAACCACACGACATTCAGAATGTTGGATGGGATAAAAAGCCACAACTTGATTGTCTGGCATGCGCAAAAGTAAACATGGATGGAAAAGATCAGGGAAAAAGTTGGTTAAATACACTCCCTTGACTACATAACATAAACCCGAAGCAAGAGTCAGATCATTCACAAGTTAACCGCTCGGAAATTACTCTGATTCCCTAACAACATATTAATCTACAGCTCTAACAACAAAAAATTCCATCTTTACTCTTAATTAGCAACTGTTTGTGTCAGTTCGAGTTACATTAGGTACCCCTCACGAAGCACAGTTCCTTGCTACCACTGAATTTGTCAGAGTCGCCCCCCATTCAAATTGGTATGAGCACGAGGTGCCTCGTTGTAATTGTCAGGTTCGTCTTCGTCATCAGAGGATAGAAGGGATGATCCCATCCACGCTTTAAAACCTTCATGAACACGCCTTTCAACATCTGGTGTGACCTCCGCGGGATTCGCTTCCAGCATTTCTAGCCCGAGATTTCTACCACTGAAGTCTCCCTCATCAAGAATCACGGCTGCCTTTCTCCTTAGGAAGAAGGCAGTACCACCATATAGAATAACCAATCCCCATGACGAAACTTCATAACACCAAAACAGGGGTACAGAGCAGTTGCTCACAAATGTCAGCAGGCTTGATCCAAGAAACAATGCAAGAAGACCAAAAACGATAGCAAATATGAGATTCAAGATAGATAGGCAGCGAACACCTCCTGTAGGTTGTCCAAACAAAGCACAGGTCAATGCATATGTTGATAGGATCCAAGATAGATAGACAGAGAGAACTAAGAAGGAAAAGTTTTTATTAAAACACGAAATCAGAATCTAATGAATTGGAAATCTTCATCACAATATGAACAAGAATCTTAAAACTCATACAGCTAATAAAGCCTAAGGAGAATCTTCACTCAAAAAAACAAATACTAATTTTATTTCCAAATGATTTCTTCACGCTGTGAAGCCCAATATTTATGGACAGAAAAATAACTACTAAAAAGACCCCCATTAACCCATAACTTAAAGGAGAATAACTATCTGAAAAGTACATAAATAAAATTACTGACAGAGTCCGCCAGTACCACGACCCACTTCTCCTAAACGTGAGGACCACTCAACAAAAAAGAAAAATAAGCTAAATCTTATTATTTAAAGAACGTATCTAAGATAACTTAATATTTAGTTCTGATATTTTTCTTACCCCCCCCCCAGTCCACATCGCCATTATCCCACAATAATCAGTACTCTAACGTTAAGCAAAAGATAATTAGTGATGCCACAATATTGCAAAGAGAACCACACTCATGGCATGATCTTTAACTGTAGGCTTCTTATCATAAGCTGATGAAGAAAAGAGCATACCTCTTCTTGAAGCACAGTAGTTATTTTCAACCACCTTCAAGCATCCATGCCTAGCTGGAGCAGAATAAGCGACGGCAATGCCTGCAAGATAATTATCATGTGAAAAATCAAATCATCTGGCATAACTAAAAAGATGTTTTGCCATACGGTACCAAAATTTAAAAGGAAAAAAAAAACATAAAAAGATGTTCACCATTATTATGAAAAGACCCCGGGTCGGAAGTAGTAGATCAAAAGTTATTTCAACCCCAAAAAAAGACCCAAAAAAATCTTGCTCAATAGGATAGAATGAAACCATGAAACTACACCTTGAAGTTGAACAGCCAAAAGTTTACAAACAAAGCTCCACTGAATATTATTACGTTACCAAAGAACAGGTGTTTTATTGAAAAGGTTATAACGTACATCTAAAAACAAATTTTGAGTAATAATAATAACAGATAATAAAGAGCATTCTCCTGAAAGCTGCAACCAAAAACAGGACATCAAAAAAAGGGGGGAAAAATCAACATCACAAATGCAGGCATAATTGTACGGAAAGGAGTCACTCTGCAAATTGAGCGTTTATATGTAATTTCAAATCATAACAAAAGTGACTAGAAGAAAAGCAAAAACCTAAGCTCCAGAAATAAAATAAACCTCAGCAAAATTGTGAGCGACTGAGCGTGACCACTACAGACCCGCATTATTTAGCAGAACTTTTAAAATAGCTCCTAATGCATTCCAGAATATTCTTAATTTCCAACAAGAAGTTCAGAGTCTTCTCTTGAAACTACCAGTAAGCATTACTCCGACTAATTCTTAAGGTGATGCCGCTAGCATAGCTCTTGGAATCACAGATATGAACAGCTATGTAGGTGGTTTGGCTCTGTTTAGAGTTTAAAAGGAGATAACCCTGGTAGACTGACTCAACTTCGATGAACCACCGGTACAGTTGTTGTAGGCTAAGAATCCAACAGTTCTGCTTGAGAGATTAATATACACACATGGAATAGAAACCCCTCCATCCTGATTCTCATATTAGAAATCCATCAATCAGTGCAAAATAGTAAGATGTAGAAAGCTTTTTGAAAATTCACTGGTCAATCAAACTCTGATAATCCTCCAGAGCAGATTAAAAAGCCTTGCAAATTTTCATAGCTATTTTCTATCACTGATATCAAACATATTTCAAATTAATTTTTTCAGCTTTTTGTTCCTAAAAAGTTTAGCACGGAAGAAAAGAGACTATTCCTTTATTACCCTAAAAAGATTTCAGATTGATGGCAAGTGATAGGTCCTTCCACTAAAAAACCAATCCCTGCCCTATTGTGTAATTCTTCCAACGATGTTGCCAACTGTTTCCTCCTTGTTCACAAGAAATATCCAGCAGCCGCTCCATAAATTATTTATTTATAAGAAGTTCTCCATTGTGAGTTCCTAAATACTCCCAAACATGCTGCTAAACATGCTATCCTCTCCACTATAATTATAGATGCCTTACTATTAAATTCGGAAGCAATTCGTGACTGACGAAAGATGGTCTCCATAAAAAACGCGGCGTATCAATTCTTATGTTGCTCCCTTTTCACATAAATCAGACAGAAGTAAAATAAAGCAAATTTTAAAATAATTCCTTACCAGCAATGAGATACACAACCGATACCAAGAAGATGATCATGGAAGGAATGAACACAACCATCCAGAAATAATCCGCAATCTCTTGATCCGTCAAATAAAAGGCGGCGCCCGGAAACAGATCGGAATCCGATCCACCCTTCATACCCATCGGTATCGGCTGAAGCCTCCGATCAGAGCAGAACGGTCTCCTCCCTTCATTGCTTGGAAACATAATATTCAAACTGATAATCGTGCATGCTATGATTGCAAGCCAAATGACAACAATAAAAGCCGTCATTAAAGGTCTCTGAAGCTTGCCCCATGCTTTTTCTTCTTCTCTGAGGCTCTCGTACTCGCGCTTAGGCATAAAAGCCTGGCGGAGCGCGTCGCCGATGATCGCCATCGGATTGAGATGCAGAGAGTCCCTGCTCAGTGAAATTCGGACTCAAAAATCAACTCGATGATAATTGGTTGTCAGCGAATCGCGTTGGGTTGACATGTTACAGGAAATATAGCCACAAAGTTTAGAGTTGAACTCCAGGTTTCTAAAATTCATCCATGAAGCCTTTTCCAAACCCTAAAATGTGCAGGTGCCAAATGGAACTCCAGTTATCGACGGGTTGGAAGATCAATTCAAAAGAAGGATTCGGATTTCGGAGGGAAGTCTGGAACTAGATTCTTTAACACTTACAGGAACTCTAATTGACAATTACAATTACAATTGCGGGTAGGGGTTTAATCAGGGAATCACATCGAGGAAGTGCAAAATCCAGAAAGCAGTTTTATTTTAGCCCAGCGGGAAGTCGGCAACCAGGAGAGTGAAGAGAATAGGTATAGCACAATATCAATACGACGCTGGCCTGTTGCTTTCGAAATTTGGGATGCCAGTAAGAAGCAATACTGCAAAAGAGTAAAACAAGCAAATATTTAATCAAAAATAAAAACAAGCAAATATCACCAGTTTTTTTTTCCCTGGCTTGGGAGAATAAGATCAAATAATATAAAATCGAATAACATTTTAGTTTCGCTCTGATCCATTATGTACGAAACAGTTTTTTGGTTCCCAAGCTTGCGCAAATGCTTCTCCGTGACGAAGTGACGAAGAAAAATGTAGAGAAAATAGAATTCGATAATAACCGTAAAACTTAATAACATTAAAACTTTCCTAAACGTGAATGATCATGGTTTGATTGTGCTTGTAATGACATAATACTCTATTAAATGTTCCTATCGTTCGGTTTTCCCCCTATTCGTGCTGTTTAGATATTTTCATCGCCGTACACAGCATATATTTGTCGCTGCCATTTTGTCACGTTTTCGGCTCCATTTGGATTAGTGAAAAAGTAGTTTATGGATAAGTGAAATTAGGTAAAAATTAAATTGGATAAGTTGAATTGTGTTTTGATTGGAGTTCAGAAAAACTAGTTTATAAAAATGAGATTGGTAAAAAATTGTTTGGATTATAGTTGAGTAAAAGTAAGTTTGGTTGTAAAATAACTAAAATGGGTATGAGTTATAATAAATAATAAAAAATGATAACAAAAATGATTTCACATAATATAATGAAATTAAAATAATTTAATATGAATAAATCAAAATTAATAAGTGAATTAAATTTTAAAATTTTAGTAAAATCATGAAAAAAAATATTTTAAATATAAAGTGAAATATGAAAAAAAATAAATTGAGATAACATAATGGAGAAGTGAAATTTATAGAGTGAGTGAAAATTAAAAACTTTAAAAAAATCATAAAAAATATTTAAAATATAAAGTGAAACATGATAAAAAAATGAATTGACATAATACAATAAATTTAAATTAATTTAATATGAAAAAATGAAATTGATTGAGTGAATTAAATTTGAAAACATCATAGAAATGAAAAAATAGAGCTTCATATAAGAAAGTGACAGTAGAGAACTAGTCACTTTTATAAAGGCGGGTTTAAACAAAAAATAGAGCTTTTGATAGAATTATTTTACTCCTCCGTCAAATGGAGCATGTCACTTTGAATTTAATTCTATCCACGTCTTTTACTCCTCTGTCATGCCATGTGTAAAATAAGCTCTTAAAGTGATCAATAAGCCAGAAAATGAAGCTTGAGCGCAACGTACGTTTTTCCAGCTTAAAATACAAAAGCTCTTTTTTTATTTAGGCCCAACCAAACACTTTAAATTTTCCAACCCTTGTAGTGTTTATAAACTGCTTATAAGCCCAGAATAATTGATGCTAAACAGTCACTTCATGTGCTTCGACTTCATCAAAAGTCAAAACAAGTTATTGCTCATTGACGACTAGCTTGCAAAATGAGAATCCCTGCTAAAAGCTATATCACTCTCTAATGTCCTAGTTAGTAATGTGCGGATTCTTTGATAATGTCCAGGTTAAACTTTTGGCCATTTTATTTTAGAGGCTGCTTAATGAGTAATTCTACTCATCATTTTTATAAGACTACTAATTTTTTAACATTAAATAGACATGTTAAAAAGTTGTACAACTTCCTAAAACTACTGCTTAGCTGGTATGACCCATTAGTGAGACAGGTGATGAAAAAGCCATTATAAAGATATGGGCGCAATTTTAGGTAAACGTGCTTCATTACTCTTTGCAAATGGTTTTGCTTTTGCATTAGGGATCAGTTAATAAAAATTTATAAATAAAAACAGAGTGAATGTTGATTATTATAATTTCTAATTGTGAAGCATGTAAATATTCCAAGCATAGCTTGGGGGACAACGTCTTAAAATTTCATCTAATGACCTAATCTAGACAAGTTGACTTTAATATGTTTTTTAAGCATGTCGATGTGTATACTAGTCGGAGTTAAATGATTAATCAAAGAAAATTAAAAAAATAGTCAATTTAATTAATTATAATAAATATGTATTGACTTTTCTAAACTATTCTTTTTGATCATATGTATAGAACTATCCCTTAGCAGAAACCCCTTACTATGAATAAGAATATTTAGAGAAAAATATTATGAACTTACAAAACAGAGCAGACAAAAATCTTATATTTAATATCAAATCTAATCATTCAATTAACTATTATTAATAGACTTAAGTATGTCTATTCCATATTTCCATTAGTTCAACTCTTGTATGAATTCACACATAATGCATGATACTCACCCGGCTATCCATCTATGGTCAAAAGAAATCACTCACAAAACAAGATTATTGTCCACATAAATCAGCGAATCATATTAACACGTAATAATCGTCGGTGACAAGTTTGTTTTCGAAAGAAAACACCTTATTAAAATAAACTTGCACAACCTACAAACTAGGTCGTGGTAACACATGCCTATATTCATTCACAAGGTCCATTGTAATCATTAAAATAAAAAAAAAAAATTAAAGCGAGAAAGATTGGGGCAAATGATATTCTTCGCGGCAAAAAGTAATGGAAGCTTTTATAAATTTTATGTAACATGAGAACTGAATTTATAAATTACAAAAATTTGAACTCCTTGCCATTGACAACGACATGAGCCAAGCAGCCAGCTTATAAACCAACCTATGGGCATGCGGCATGCGTATACAGCAAAACGACGATACCATACTGGTGAATCCTAGTGCTTTTTGGTTATGTCATGCTATGTTACTTGGTGTTTCAAAAAGTTATTTTAAAATTTAATTTAATCATAAATATAAAAATTTAATTTAATTTATTTTTATATTTATTTATTTTTCTTAAAATAAAGCAGTCTTTGTATATGTCAGAGTGTTTTCATCAAAATCTATTTTCAATATCTATGAATAAACAAAAGTATTTTAAGACCAATTATTTATTATAAATAATTAATTTAATTTATTTTTAATTTTTACAAACAGATTATCCAACTCTTGGACGGGAGGAGTCAGTATTTGTTTTCTCCCTACCTTTTTGGGTTCCAAAACGGCAGCATCCAGTTGCGTTGGTCTTGTTTTCTTTGGACAAATTGCGTTGGCTTTGCAATGTCAATTAATTAAAAGCGGCCTTCTTAACCCCAACATATAATAAACAAACAAATAAATACACCTTATCGCCTCTCCCTCCCTGATGTTCTCTTGTCACCTGAGCCATGACTGAGATTTTGATGATAAACACATGAGGATGAAACAACATTTGACTTCACGCTGGCATCCCCCACAATTCATGATGACTGCGCACGGGTTCATATTGTCCGCGTCATTCTGCAGTAGGAGTCTATATGAGGCTTTTTATGATATAATATTATAATATTAATTGCATGGGTGTCGCAAAAGATATACACAGATTTTTTTCTTCAACGTCGAAATTTCAACTCGACATCATGATACACGCTATTGTAATTTTCTAATAATTCCTCAGGTTTACGATAATAAGTCGTGGCAAGTGAAATATATATTCACATTAAACTACTACCTCCGCTCCTTAATATAACACCTTGTTTGATTTTTATTTTGATCCTAAATATAAGACCTTAATCTAATCTGTCTCTCATATTTATCCATTTTTTTAAAATAGTCCTTCTAACAATGATAGTTCTAATAAATAAACTTGATTAGCAAAGATATTTTGGGAAAAACAATACCTATTCGTTACAAATAACTAACTTAATTTATTTTCTTAATTTACTCAAATTAGCCAACTAGTTCTTATACTCATAACCGAAAGTAGTATTCGTTACAAAATATAAGCTGAAATTTTCCATCACACAACTTTAAACACAAGTCAATGAAAATATAAATTAGTTAATAAGGATGATAATATTTTATTATTAATTTTTAACCAGGCACACACGATACACGATACTTCGTACTTAAAACAGAGTTAAGGTGCAATTTTAACCTCAATCTTATTTCACAGATACAATTTCGCCTCTAATCTTTTAGTGGTGCAATTCTACTCATAATCTTGTTTTTTTAGGTGCTATTTTTTTCTTGATTTTTTTTTGTGCGCGCAATTTTACTTTTGCTTGTTGGGTGCAGTTTCAAAAAAAAAAAATCAAGGTAAAATTGCATCGCTAAAAAGGTCGAGGATAAAATTATACCTGAAAAATAAAATGGGGGTTAAAATTGCCTCTTAACCATTTAAAATATCCTGTTTATTATTTTATATCTTATCTCATTATAAGTGGAAAATAAATTCCCGAAGAAACCAGATAACCGCAGTAGATTTTTAACATAACTCATGTCATGAATTAGCGAAATATAATTACTGGAAATAATTTAAAAAAATCAAATACAGTCTGTGTAAACTCTAAGAGAATCAGAGAAGTCAAAATAAATTTGTTAATATATAGTAGTGTTATTGTTTCAGGACCTTTGCAAACCTCAATATACCAACTTATCTCTTACAAATTTTATATTTTTTTAAGGAAAAATGACATAAAAAGGTTATAAATTACATAAAAAGCAATTTTACTTTTGCTTGTTGGGTGCAGTTTCAAAAAAAAAAATCAAGGTAAAATTGCATCGCTAAAAAGGTCGAGGATAAAATTATACCTGAAAAATAAAATGGGGGTTAAAATTGCCTCTTAACCATTTAAAATATCCTGTTTATTATTTTATATCTTATCTCATTATAAGTGGAAAATAAATTCCCGAAGAAACCAGATAACCGCAGTAGATTTTTAACATAACTCATGTCATGAATTAGCGAAATATAATTACTGGAAATAATTTAAAAAAATCAAATACAGTCTGTGTAAACTCTAAGAGAATCAGAGAAGTCAAAATAAATTTGTTAATATATAGTAGTGTTATTGTTTCAGGACCTTTGCAAACCTCAATATACCAACTTATCTCTTACAAATTTTATATTTTTTTAAGGAAAATGACATAAAAAGGTTATAAATTACATAAAAAGCAATTTTACTTTTGCTTGTTGGG